GGGGGGGGGGGGGGGGCGCACCCGTGTTGATGGGGCCAGAGTGGACGCCGATGCGGATCTGCACGGCGCTACCGTCCGGGTAGCGCGTTGCTGCCGCCACACCCGTCATTGCCTCTGCCACCTGGGTGTGGTGTGTGGGCGTGTGAGTGTGAGTGTGGGGGCGAGTGCATGCGTAGGTGCGTGTGTGTGTGTGTGTGTGTGTGTGTGTGTGTGTGTGTGTGTGTGTGTGTGTGTGTGTGTGTGCGCATCCGTGTGTGCGGTGTGGATGTGAGTGTGCTTGAGAGGGTCAGTGTGTTGGCATGTGTGTGTGTGTGTGCACGCGCATGTGCGCACATGCGTGTGTGTTTGTGCGTGTGCGCACGCTGGCGTGCGTGTGGGGCAGGGAGGCGAACACAGGACCGTGAATTTGGGGCCGGGCATTACTCCACAGAGGGAGGGACATACTGGGGAAGGGAATCGGAAGCCAGCAGGGAGAAGGCATGCAGGGCGGTGCATCGCATCGCAGAGTGGCAAAGATGCTGTTGGTACCAAGCCAGCGGGGTGGAGAAGCGCAACCCTCAGCCCTCCGTGGCATTTGGCAGCTGAGCGGCTGGCAGAAGGCCGGAGCGCCATGCGAGCAGGGGAGGCACCCCGTCCCACGACAGGCCCCCCCAACACCAATGTTGCCCAAGCCCATCCTGAAAAACCCGAGGCCCTCTGCGAGCCTGTTGCAAAGCACGGCTCATCGCTCCGCCAAGCAGACGCACCCTCCTCAGCCAACAAAGTACCCTTGATTTGGACCCTCCACGTGTTCTGACATCCACGCCCTATCCGCCCTGCCCGTCAAAACAAGCTGCACCATCCATACACATGTGTGCACACACACACACACACACTCACACACAGACACACAAATACACACACACACCGTAAACAATGCACCCCTCCCTCCCACCCTGAGAATGAGCTCCATGTGCTGCGGGTTGTCATCATGGCCCGACACCGCCACGTAGGTGCTGCCGCTGAAGTCCACCCCCAGGGCCCCCTCCTCCTCACACAGCTCGTCCCAGCTTGTATATAGGCTGTTGAGCATGACCACCTGGTTTTTTGGGGGGGGGTGGTGGTTGGGGGCGGTTAGGGGCG